GTTTGGGTTTTATTATGTACATATCCGATGGTCCTGTGCAATAACGAACCAATTCAAAATTCTAAAAATAGAAACCCTTACTAAATACTGTTAAGTGGCTCATGTCTCTATCGAATCCATGTCTAATCCTTAGTATTTACTTTAGCAATCCTTCCTGCTTACTTAAGTAAGGATTGGAAATGGATTAGACAAGGATTAGAGACCAGAGCCACTTAACAGTAATTAACAGTTTTTATTTATTGAATTTTGTATTGTGCCTTTATTGCAGAGGACCTTCGACATGTATGTGTTGGGTTATATGAAAATTCTCCGCGGTTTAGTCATTATTAGCTAAAACCGTATGCCATTTTTCGGGTAGCTTCATAATTTCATCGTTGTAGAACTTCTGTGTGGTTTATCGCCGAAAAACTTGGCAAAGTGATATCTAGCGGCTCTTCGTTAGGCCAATTTTTTACAATGAGGTGTCATGCTGAAACGAACTCCTTTTCTATTGGCGAATTCTTTATGTGGTCGATTTCTGCACAGCGCAAGACCGCATCGATCGTTTCATGTCGTTTTAGCAGTTTTTAATGGACAATTTCCTTCCAATACCACCGAACACTTAACGCCTTCTTTATCGTCAATAAAGACTTTGAAGTCTTCATCGCTTGCGTTCCTTATGCTCGTAGTCACTCCATTTTTCATCGCCCGTAATAATTCGCTTTAAAAATGGTTTGATTTCGTTGCGTTTCAACAGTGTTTTACTGGTTGTAGCTCGGTCAATAAATTTTCTTTTGCGTTAATTTATATGTTACCCAAACATAGAGCTGATTTGATTATGTAGGGCCCCGCTATATCCTGTCAGCTTACATGTTGGTCTTACACAACCATTTACATTATTTCATCGACTTTTCAAGTGACTGGCCGACTAGAGCGAAGAGCATGTTTGAATCAGGAAAACCACTCCATTTTCAAATAAATATAACTTTTTGGGTGTTCGACAAATTACAAATTTATATTCACTAAAAATGTAGCCAGAAATGTCACTTTTCAAACGCACCTCAGATTGACGCAATTGGATTAGTGTTGTCAGATGTATGGGTATCAACACGATATAGTGTCAAAAATCCGCAGATACTGTTCATATGACCCTATATATGTATATGTATGTATGTAGGCATAAGTTTATAGGGCGCATATGGCCCCTGGAGTAGTTCACAAGCGAACAAATATGCATAGATGTGAATGTAAATATACTATGTTTAGATGTACAAGTGTGTGTATGTATAATAAGTATTAACTAGGACAAAATAATATTTTTTTTTTTAATATTGTGTTTAAACACAAACACAAATTATGTTTAACAAACATGTA